TCCAGATATGTTTAATTCAACTGATCAGTATTAAATAGAGATTTATATTAATATATACATAATTATTGAACATACAACCCTAGCACCAAGTATTAATGACATCACGTAAAATTCACATGAATATACTTAACATTTTTCCATTATTATTAGTGTACAGTGACTTTCTTGTCCAATTCAGTTGTAAATGGTTTAAACCGTATATGAGATCGGAGGTAAAGTGCGTGCATTGGATTGAATTGTGACGCAGATACATCCAAACCACATTTTCTTTCAAAACTACGAAAGGACAGCTGAAAAAGGTTTTTAAGTCATGCTGTCAAACAGATTTTCAATCTGAAAAGGAATAACAATAATAACACAAGCCAGACGTCAAATTATTACAAATTAGTAAGCCACTTAATATTGCCATTTTCTTTTTCACTGCAATACTGCAAAAAGTCATAATAATAAAATGAAAATTCATTTCTATATGACCTCAACCCCAAGTAGCACATTTAAAAGCGATTGCCTCTCAAGGATATACTGATAACATTTATCAAACAATGTCTTTATCAAGTATCTCGCATTCAAATTCATCATTAAATACAATATCAACCTTCCGAAATGGGTGGGATTGGTAGTTCCTGTATCGGATTTTGTCTTCTGGTAGTTCTTATAGGGATTTCCTCGGGAATTCGCTATCAACCAACATGGGAATCAATTGACAGTAGACCACTTCCTGCTTGGTATGACCATGGTAAATTGGGAATTTTCATTCATTGGGGAGTATTTTCTGTCCCCAGTGCTGGTTTCCATTCTCAAGCAGCATGGTTTTGGACGTACTGGAGACAAGAAAAATTACCTGCATATGTGAATTTTATGAAAAATAACTACCGACCAGATTTTACCTACGCAGATTTCGCCAAAGACTTCACAGCAGAATTCTTCGACCCAAACGCATGGGCCGAACTATTCCAGTCGTCTGGAGCAGAGTAAGTATTGAAGTAAATAATATTACATCTACCCTTTACTTAAAATTAGATTTTATAAATTAGCTAACCTAGTTCATTGATTTCTATCACACAGAGGATTATTATATAATTTTTGATGTGGTATTCACTTCACATTTTTCGTTACAGCTACATTGTTTTTACGAGTAAACATGGCGAAGGTTTCACAAACTGGCCGTCAAATATATCATTCAATTGGAATTCCATGGAAGTTGGTCCTAAAAGAGATCTTGTTGGTAAGCCAAATTGTAATCAGAGTGTTAATCATATTATCGAGAAAGATTATTAAGATTAACATATAATGAGACGAGTCTGAATCCATATTGTGGTAAACGCATTTTTATACGTCCACATGAAATGGGGGGCGTATATTGCCATCACCCATGTCCATCCGTCCACAATTGCACGTAAACACCCTACAAGACACAATTCTTGACAGATTTTGACAAAACTTGGTATGAGTGTTCGTAATCACCCAAGGATGAAACCTATTGAAAATCAGAAGAATCGAAAAATATTTAGTGTAAATTATTGCCATTGTTCTTGAAAACGCGTTCAATTTTTAGCTTGTAAACACTCTTGAAGGGATAATTCTTGATGGATTTTGACGAAACTTGGCATAAGTGTTCGTATCACCCAAGGATGAACCCTATTGAAAATCAGAAGAATCGAAAAATATTCAGTATGAGTTATTGCTCTTGTTCTTGAAAACGCGTTCATTTTTTTGCTCGTAAACACTCTAGAAAGCACAATTCTTGATGGATTTTGACGAAACTTGGCATGAGTGTTTGTTATCACCCAAGGTTAAACCCTATTGAAAATCAGAAAAATATTTAGTATGAGTTATTGCCCTTGTTCTTGAAAACGCGTTCAATTTTTAGCTCGTAAACACTCTAGAAGGCACAATTCTTGATGGATTTTGATGAAACTTGGTGTGAATGTTCGTAATCACCCAAGGTTAAACCCTATTGAAAATCAGAAAAATATTTAGTATGAGTTATTGCCCTTGGCGTTCAATCTTTAGCTCGTTTAACGGATTTTGACGAAATTTCGCATGAATGTTTGTTATCACCTAAGGATGACCCTATTGAAATCAGAAAAATCGAAAATATTTAGTATGAGTTATTGCTTTTG